TGGCGCGTGAATCATGCGGACCGGCCGGGCCGCCCTCGCTTTCACGGCGCGATCGATCAGATCAGCAGTTGCGGCGTTGCTTTGCGGAGCCATCGACCACGACGTCTCGAAAGCAAAAGGAAGGTGTAGCGGCAATCGAGAGGTCGCCCTCCACCGAGTAACTGACTTGTCTGTACATGTGTGGGTTTGCACGTTTTATTTACCTCTAGCTCTACAGTAACTTACTGCACGGCAGTATGTGCAGGAACGACACGCCTACCCCTTTCTTTTCTTTTTCTTCTGATGAGAATGATACGCTTATCCGGATATCAACGGTGCACGATACAGACGCTGTAGTCGTAGCAGATGCTTAGGACGTCCCAATGGTTATAAATAGCTAGTCTAGGAAAAATTTTATTGGCTATCAGGAAGAGAAATCAAATAGTTAGTAATTTCTAAATAGCTAGTCTAACATAATTTTTTGAAAACAACTCTCTCACAGCTTAAATAACTTTCTATTACAGTGGTTTTTTTATTTCTAAGTCCAATCTAGCTATTTTTAAAAGTTGTTATTGAGGAAGCCCTCGTGCTTTATTCCCACTACGCATGTGTGGGTATTGTTGTTTATCCGCGCCTTAAATTCGGAAGCACGATTACTTATCCGAAGAAGTTCCCCACCGACCGTTGGTTCCAGATCAGATACTCTAAAAAAACCCATCTCATTTCTCTCTCAAAAAAAGACGGAATCCGGAGCTCTCCATATGTGCCGTTAACACCGGAACGAAGCTCTCCTTTTTTTTTTTCCTGACGACAGAGTTTATGCGCGATCCACAGCAATCCAAGTTGGTTGTCTGACGTTCGAGATGGTACAAGCCTCCCTTCCCTGTCGCCACTGGGGTGGGGGACACGGACATCAGCTGACGGCTCTGGCGCGGGCTGCCCCGGCCCCGGGGTGATGGAGATATTTGCGGGGTCCTGGACCACGCAATTGCGCGGCGCGCGTGGCGTCGCGGGTCGCTTTCCGCGGCCTCGCGGGCGTACAGTACAGGCATACAGATCTGAATGAAGGGCTCGGTACGGCGGCCGGGCTAAATACTCAGGGGCGTCCGGCGTCTGTGTTCCATACTACGAATAGTACTTCCATGCCATGCCATCCCGAGGATCCGAGCGTGTGCGTACAGTCCAGTCCCTCTCCCTCCCCGTGTGCCGGTGAGGGCGTAAGGCGGTGATCCGGTGTGCTGATGCCGCGGCCTGGGCTCTGCGCTGTGGAATGGACTGGACGTCGGTGTGAAGTGTGAACCGCCCACCGACACGCAGCTTCCCCGTCGTTGCCACAGCCCACAAGGCACGACACACAGCAGGTCTTGCAGAGCCGAGGCAGGGGCAGAAACCGCGGGCCGAAAAGGTCCCAGCGAGCGTACGTACGTGCAGTGTTTGCTGGTTTGCGCTCTTTGTTTTGCCTGTGAAGAAGCCATATACGTACGAGTACCCATATATTAACCGGCTGACAAGTAAAACCCTGTTCGCTTGACTGAATGGCTGAAAGTACTATTACTTAATTTATTATAAGAAAAAAATATAATTTATTGATTAAAAAAATACGACCTATAAAGGTGAAAAGCGTCACGACCACTTCCTCCGATTTGTCAACCAGACACATGACATCTCCTTCTCCTGGCGTTGCCCTTATCCATCCACGTACTCCCTCCGTAAGCGCCAGCACCGCGAAAGGCATAGAGGCAGCATATGCCTTTTCTCTTCTTCCCATAGGCGGCCCATAGGGTTCGTTCTGTTCGTACACGTGCTGCCATGCACAAGAAAGCCACCCAGGCAGGCCAACCACCAACAATTGCCTAGTATTTGCGCCTCTTGAGCAGTTGAGCACGAGTAATTTTAGCAGCGCCCGTTACGTCATGGCCCACGCACGATACGGTGACGTGAACATGACTGCCTCCCATTGCTGCGAGCTGCGTTGCGGCAGCACGCGAGCGAGACCGGCGATCGCCGAGGCTCGTCGTGCCGGAGCCCGAAGCGCGCCCATTGGACATCGGCTCCGTTCGGATGGTATGGTTCTGAAGGAATTTGATGGTTTGAAGAAATTCAGAAAAATTTGGAGAAAAAAATACTATTCTGGATAAAAAAAAAAATAGCCAGATTAAAGACACGCGAACGGAGCCATAGCGGTCTGTAAGATGCGCGACCTGACAGCAACCGCCGCAGCCCGATTTGTTCACCCGTCGTGCTCGCCCGCCGAAATGCCTGCGGTGAGCGGTGAGCCGTGAGCGGCGAGCCAATTCCCGTCAATGCGTCGTACATAACATAAGCCTTCTTTATGGTCACTTAAATAACTCGTAACTCGAAGATTTATATATTGGTCGTGTCATCTGCTTCAATATGTATTAGAATCAAACTCTGTACCAACGTTGGACGCACGAGTACATGTAGATTTAATTCGTAAAAGCGCATGTTGTGAGCCAAGATCACAGATGAAACAGAGAGAGGCGGCGGTAGACATTAGTATGTAAATAAAGTAAAAAAACGGATGGAAGAATCGTCTGATTGGTTCACATGTATACTAAAAACATCAAACACCCTTCGAACACCTTGCCGTGAGATACTCTACCACAATCTTCAAATGCAGTAGGTTCATCAAGAAGCATGTATTGGTAGAGAGAACAGGCGTGTCGTGGTGCCAGTTCGGGCGGTAGTTCGTGAACAGGCGCGTCTCTGGGGAAAATCCCCTTGTGAAAAAAGAAAACTACTGGTTATCAACTTGATCACCATGTTTTGTGCTAAAACAAAAGGCAATGTATCAAAAGGCAATGTTGCATTGGGTCTAAGCGTCTGTGAGGGGAGACAAATTACACGTTGCCATGGTAATATTACCGCTGGAGTCATGTAGATTATTAGATACGAATTTTGGATTCATGAGACTTGGCACCAAAATCAACATTGGTGTTAGCAACACATGTTATGATTATGGGCTAACGGATCCGCTAGTGGAGGTAAAGGCTAGCGATATAGCAAACAGAGATTATGGATCATCACTTCGGTTCAATGAAATGAAAGGAGAGCAAGCACCAAATCATGTGAAATTCGCATTGCCATTAGTGACAAGGAACTACAGAAATAAGCATGCGTTATTAATAACTGTGTGGCCTTAAGAATAATACAATAATATTCTTGATATCCATATGAGGCAAGTCTTGTCACACGGAATTTGCTTTTGGTCGATCAACTGCCAACACTTTTTGACTTTTTTTTTTTGAAGCAAACACTGAATCTGGATGAATTTGTGAGAGAGTAAACATTGATTTTTCAGCCAGGAACAGTGAATTCCGGCTGAAAAACTGACCAGCCGAACTGCCCCAGAAGAGTTGGTGAGGTTTCTAAGACCAAATCCTCTCTGCTCCCAGTTAAGCATTTCGAAACAGGGTGCCAAGCAGTCCAGGTATAGAAACACGGTTTCTGTGAGGTAGGAGTAAAGTTAAGTTTCAAAACACGATAGAGTAAATAAGACACTGGTCAATATTATTACATAATAGAAGTTCCCAGTGCAGTAACCGAAACACAAACACAAGACAAGATGTCTAACAGTTGGGTTCATGGTGGTTTCACGCAACCATACCACCCAAGATCAAATGCAAACCAACCAGTTACCCATTCACAGTAGCAACATGAGACTTATTTGGACTGAGCCTAAACCACCAATATTTTTTTGGCCACAGTCCAAGCTTCACAGATAGCTGCTTCTTTATAACCCTTCTTTTAGCTTGCAATGCTCTTTTGGCTTCAAATGTTCTTTTGGCATCCATAACGAACAACACCATTAATTTTTGGGCCCAAGACCTAAAATCACGGACCATCATCATTCTTTTGTGGACTCCCAACCAAGTGCCCTTAGCAAGCTTATTTTTATATTTATGCATCCATCAACAGCATTGATAGCTCATCTCATGTAAACAACTGAAAGAAAACATGCTTTGGTCCCTCACATGAATGATAAATTTCCACAAATAAAGATTTACAAAATTTATTGTGTATTGTGTACCTCTTTTTCAGCCAAAGTTATTCCTGGAGGGTCACATATGATCTTCAGAGCCGTCGCAAGTTTCATCAAATCCCAACCCTTACAGTTAACGCCAGACACCACCTGAAGGAGGTCACCACCTACGCGCAGCGGGGTAGAAAGATTCTTCTCACAAATATCAGAATCATGCAAGACACATGCCACCATAATCATTGCTTCAGAGACCTGGGTACAGGTGAGCATTGTGCAGTCACTAATAGGAAAAAGACAACGAAAAGGTTAAAATATAGCACCAAAAGCTTTGGGCAGGGATAATTATGAATTTCTATGGGTGCACCAGTGCACTGCACAAACTATGATATAGGATGTGTTTGACTGCTGACCATGGACTGCCACGCCCAGCTGCAGCGCCAAAAATCGACACCACAACTGTGGCAGAGTTTTGTGCTGAAAAGAGCAGTGTGGCTACCGCAGCTTTTGCATAAACCACGGAGCAGGCTTGTATTGTGTGGCGTGCCGAATGTTAGTCGTGGCAAACCACGGCAGGGAACCAAACACCCTCATAATAGTGTCACAATAAATGAAGACGTAAACCACAAAGCAGAATGTCGATACATCAAGGAAGTCAACTGCTGAACTCACCATCTCTGGTTTCACACCGAAGCCATGACGATCCATCAGCCATTTTTGTCCTTGGCTCATTGGTAGGCAACCTTTCTTTGTCAGCTTGAGTTTTTCTCCGGGTACTAAAACGTGCATGAGATTCTTCAGGCCCCACATCGCTTCCATCACAGTTTCATTGAACAGACAACGTACAGGCTGAAATGAATGACAGCAAAATTGGTGCTCAAATTTGTTCACAAACATGTAATAAACAATTGAGGGAGCTCTAACTAACCAAGCTCTTTTCAATGATTCTTTTATATTCCATATTTCCAACAGCCAATGTCCATGAAGGATAGCAACATCTCATGATCATATCAGCAAGTTCTCAATTAACACCAGTATCCTGATTAATGGCACTGGACTTGTCCTTGAAAGTTTTGAACTCTTTCAACCAAACGATCTGATAAAGAAATGAATAAGGGAGCAAATAAGAGACAATTAGTCAAAGATCACTTAATGTCCTAATCATGGAGCAAGCAAATTCAGTCTAGGCGCCAAGTAGTCATCTCCGCCAAGCAAGCCAAGGCAATCATACTATTTTCAAGGCATTGACTTGTGACGTGTTAAACAGATGAAATCAGAGAAAATGACATCACATCTATCCATGATTTGATAACCACGTACCATATTCACATCCAATTTTCCCCACATCCCAACAAAGACCAAGCTCAGGAGAACAACTATGCAACGCCTAGGTGCTAGGAAAAAAGCTGTGAATAGTTCAATTTGATCGTAAGTCACATCGCTCGCTTATCAAAACATAATGCCTAGCGCCACTTTTTGAAACACTAATCACAATTTCAAAAGATATTTCTTGATATCCTTGAGATTTTGCAATGCACCCCAGAGTAAATTTTTGTGCTAAAAAGGTATCTCGACACACCTTCTAAACAGACAAACCCTGGTGTTCATTGGTTGTACTACCATGTTGCAGAACAACCATATCTAGGTTTACTGGGAAAAAAAACGTGTAGAATATTTTATTATAATAAATAAATAACAAATGGCATGCCTGTGATCATATTCCTCCCCTATAAACAACAACAAAAACTGTAAATGAATACGCAGATCATGAATGGTGCAGATAATAAATGTAGCAGATATTCTAGGATCAATACTCTGTAAATAATTGCAGACAACAACATAAGCAGATAGGAAGGAAAAGAAAGAAGTGAGTAGGTGCAGCGGGAGAAGAGGGGGGCACTAACATCTTTTGTCCTATACTCCTCGCCGAAGTGTGCCCAGATATTCTGCAGGACACAGAAAACAGAAAAATTAGGCAAAGAAACAGCAAACATAAAGGGAATAACAAAGCAAGTACCTCCAGAGCATCTGGGTCATTGAAGTGATGCCCATACATAGAGAAAATGGCAAAGCCGGAGGGAGTTTCAAGCAGCAACGAGACCAGTTCATGGTTCCCTGTGAACACATAAGAAAACTTAGCAGGATTAAATAAAATAAATAATGTGCTAAGATCAATCGTTAATTCAGATATCAAGCTTGGCGCCATCTGTGGAGCTAAAGGCCATTGCCTGACGCCTATGCCCAATCCGCTACGGCAACGCTAAATCACGATGGAGTGGAGGGACAGAGGCGGGGTCTAATCCGGATGGGCTTCGAGCACCACGCCGGAAATCGCCTTGCCAGATCAATCCTCCATGGCATTTGGCATGTATGCATTTCTACTAGGGTCCAATATAGGGTTTACTTTCTAATCCTTGCACGGGGTTGGGAATTGGGATAGAGAGACACCGCAGGTGACTAACCGATTGGCCCCGCCGGAGAAGCACGCTTCCTCTTCCAAGAGGAAGAGGTCGAGGTCGTTCCTGCCGGAGGAGAAGCACGTTTCCTCTTCCTGGAGGTCGAAGTCATTCTCCTTCCTGTCGGCGAGGGTGGCCAACGATAGCGGCCGGAGGGTTCAGATTTCTGAATCACTAGCAGATGCCCGTGTGTTGCTACAGAACCTTACAAATTTCAATCAATTCAACACATTAAAAGTAAGAAAAAAAAATCGGTTAGGAGCCTCAAATTTTCAACACAGTAAGAGTATAAAAAAAATAGTTGGTCGAAATCAAGACAAATAAATTTTAACTTGGCCTAGCAACATACTGTTTCGAGCCACATTCAAATAAATAAGCGTCAAATTTAGTAACAATGTCAAAATAAGTGCATGATCGATAAGTCGGCTTAGATATTCTCGTAGGGATACAGGAATCATAAAAAGATTTGGCTTCAGATAAAACTTTACCGTATCCCATACACAGCATATAAATTTTGTCATACAATACGTCTTGATTTGCACTGTTCACTGTGACCAATTACCACCAACTCACTACCAGTTTGAAGATAATTGCTGCATATATATATTTTTTTAGAGGTGGCTACAACTTCTAAGCATGCTGAGGTATACTAACAGGCAACAGCTACTGGTTTTTCGTTGAAAATTACAGCTCAAGAAAACCTAATATAAAATTTCTATTTAGTGTAAAGCACATCATAATTTCAATGCAAGGACCATTATATACTTACATAATTTCATTTGTTGCGAGGACTCATTAATTTACTACTGAGAGTGTGACAACTTGCCTTTTTAATATTTGTATAGTAAGAATTCAGCATAGTAAGAATACACTTTTCATAATGGCCAGCAGACCTGCCTTGATTTATACTAATGATAGAGTTCAGGACCCGAAAATGATAAATTCTTTGTCCCTAAAGCAGTGGTACTGTGCAGGGCATAATTAATTGATGCATGGTTGGATGGTCCTTGGCCGGGCCACTCCAATCACTGTCCGACTAATGTATCTGAGCATCGATCACCAAACAAAAACAAATCAAGAGTAAATGACTGAACACTGAACAAGAGCAAATGACTGGCACCGACTATCCCATGTTGCTCACTGAATCAAATTAAATCGCACCAATCGCTACAACCAAAATCCCTTTTCAACAAACACCATGAGAGCGTAGAGACCCAATGTGCGCACCTTTCTCTCAACCCAATGCGCGCCCCCTCTCTAGAAACTGCTGAGCAAATTTAAAACACAGGTGACCCTTTATTGATGAAGAATCAATTGAAGAACATATACTTGGGAGCACCCCTGATTACACAGGGAAGAAGCAGAGTTTGCTTCGTCTGATACCTGGGAGCACACTATCAACCAATTTGTAGTTTTATATACCTGGGAGCACACTATCAACCAATTTGTCTAGCAATAGTTTCCTTTGATATATGCCCTAGCTGAAGAATTTTCATTTTGCCAATCAATCTACTGGTACTGGACATTGTGGACACATAGCAGGCATAATACATGTACACACATGTAATTAGATCAGATCGGAATAGAAATAGCCAATTAGCTTAAGTTAGGGTTGGGTGCTCGGTTTTACACAGCAAGAAGGGAAGAGAAGGGGTTGGCACACCTGGTGGCAGCAGCGAGTGAGGGTGTAGGAGGACTTGAAGAAGCTGCTGCTGCTCAACGTGCTGCGACCGCTTCTCGCCGGCCGCCCCTGGAGCTCCCGCGCGAGCGGCACGGGCTGCGCGTAGCGTTCCAGCCGAGGCCCAAGGTCCGCGCGGCGGGCTTCACCAGCGCCGCGCGATGGCTGGGCCGGGCGCCGGGCTTCACCGGCGTCGCTCGCGGCGCGGCGACCAGGAGGGTCTCGTCCGGTGCCCTCGGCGGCTGCGGCTTAGTCGGGGCGCTCGTCGTCGTCGTCGGCGGCGGCACGGTCTGGAGCGCGCGGCGGAGGGGCGAGTCGAAGGAAGCGTGGAGTCGTGTTTTTTTTTTCTTTTCGAGAATTGAATTCTTGCCGAGTCGGAGATTTGCCCCTACAATTCGAGGAATCGAAGATTTGCCCTTTATATTCTTGCCTTACCTTAGCTTTGCCATTTTCTACGTATGAAGCTTTTTTGGACCCATTTGCAGCACTTGTATTTCTGTATTGGACCAAAATGCCCCTGGATCCCATCAATCTTTAACTCAACCGAACGGGTATTTGAACCCACGGTCTTCTCTCTATCTCCCTCACCGGTTTCTCTCCCCCGTGTTTTTCCTCGTTACCTCAATCGAAGAACCCTAGCCATCGATTGGAGGCCAGCGCTCGGGTGTCTGGAGGTGGGTGGTCGAGGCGACGCGTCTGCGGCGGGCGATCCTGAGGCGCAAGGCAACAACAGAGCGGCTTGAAGGCGGCGATTGAGCTAGGCGCGCGCTCCTTGAGGTCGGCCAAGGCAGTGATTGAGGCGCCATGGCGCAGAGAGCGGCGGGTCACAGATTGAAGGCAACGCCGGCGATTGAAGACAACGGCGATTGGAGGTGCCCCATTCTTCTCCTTTTTTTCCTAGTACACCCCATTGTTGTCGTGGTCCAACCTTTGGCGCGATCTCGCTTCTTATCGCCGTTGACGCCTCACTTTGTCTTTGTCATGTGCATATGGTGCTGTTGTTGCCCGGATGAGTGGCGGTCCAAGATATGGGAGGAGGTGTTGCTTGCTCCAAATGGGGGGGGCATCCAAAGCTCTGCTTTCCCCACTCGTGTGGCGCCCACACACCGCAAGGTAAAATTAAATACGGATCCGAAGCAAGCAGCAGGCCACTTTTGGCCAGACCTTCGTCAAGTGTCCGAACAACATCAAAGTAAGTCAAATTTTTTTGTTCAATTTTGTGCTTTTGGATGGTGGTCATGAAGGTATGGTTTTATCAGTTGCAAGATGACCCAACTACGTGTGGCATCATCATGTCCGAGAAGCAGTATGAAGATGTCGTACGCAATCCAGAGCAGCATCCAATTTGGTGGAAGAAGGCGATCCTTCCCAGTTGTGCACATGGGTCTGTCGACCCTATTCTAGAGTTCAAGAAAGATTTCGATAAAATAAAGGCAAAACTCAACAATTCTATGAATGATGTCTCGAAGTTGAAGGTGCAAGTAGAGATTCTAAAGAAGGACTATGTCATTATTGCAGCCGTGTGTGTAGGTGTAGTCATTGGTTGTATTCTGAGCATAATTTGAAAGTGATGTAGCCGTGTGTGTGGCTTTTGCCTATCAGATGTATAACAATAGCTATTTGCTAATAATTGAGTTTAGAATTTGCAGCCTTGCTGCCATTCTGTTATCTATTTGAGCAATGTTAGAGCTTAGGCTCCTAAGGTTGTAGCCAATTCTTAGGTCTTGCACTGGGTCCTAAAGCAATGTTAGTCATTGATGATCTTCAGACTCACTGCTTAATTGTAGCATTAAGCAGTGACTTCAGGATTTCATCCCTTACATGTGTGAGTCCTCGTAGATTTCTAAGGAGGAAAAGGACTGTGAAGGAAGAAACCAATCTTTATTCGGTGTAACCTCTTCCTCAAGAATGTAGGGACCAAAGATGAGATGATAATCATGAACCCGCACACAATCATCATCTGTATTGATTGCTTCCATAACTTTATCTCGTAAAAAGTTTGTTGGCTCGGACATAGGCTTGAAACAAGTTGCGATCAAATAGATCACCCTTGTCTAGGCAAATTGGAAGCATATAATGAAAAAGTGGCCATAATTGTTGTTTACGAAGCCATGATAGAACTGCTGCTTTGCAGGTCGGATGGGAGAAAAGTAGGTATGCATCAATATTCTCTAAGAAGCTTCATGCAACTGGTCCCGCTCATCGGGATCTACCTAAACTTTCAAACCGCCCACATACACAGAGATCGGTCTCATTTGAAAAACCATCTTTAAGTTGCATGAGTCATCATGATTCCAATGAGAAGGACAGACTTCCCTAGTTTCATCTCTTATACAGCTTTAGAGCAAGAAAGTTGGCAACAATTATTTTCCTTTCGGTAGAAGATGCTGAACCAACTGAATCACCATCACTTATTGGAAGGACGCACTCCCAGTTACAACACGAGGAAGATATAATTGAGCAATGCTCTTGTCATCAAATAAAATTCAGCAGGATTCACATAAGCATTTCAACTTGTTCACTTCCATCACAGATCACACACAGTTCACAGTTTGCTGCCATCAAAGGCATGTAGTTGACAATTCACTAACATTATGTTACAAAACAAAGGTCACAAAATATCTATCATTGGTCCATCAGTCTTAGTGTCCTCCACAGAACATGTCCATCAGGCTTGTCACAACCTTTGCTACAGGAGCAGCAGCATCCTTCTTCTGCTTCTTCTTCAACGATGTTTTTTTCTTCTTAGAAGTTGTCTTTTTCTTTGAAGCCTTCTTTTTATTCCCTTTGGATGGTCTAGCATCATCAGCTTTGGATGGTCCAGCATCATCATCTGTCCTCTTCCTGTAAATGCACTTTTCATTAAGCCACAGTACTAGTAAAATGCATATAACAGTAAATAATTCAAATAAAATCTTGTCTTTTGTTGGGTCTAGCAACTTCACCATCCTCTCCAACCATATCAAGCTTGCAGGTCTTCTCGAAGTGTCCAAAACCTCCACACCGTTTGCATCTCACTTTCTTCTTGTTGAGATTGTTCTCTAGATAACTCCTAACCCTTTGCACCTTTGGCCAACTTGTTGGTCTTCCCAACAACGGTGGGTGAACCTTGAACCCAAGATCAACTTCTGGCCACTGTGATTTATCTGTCATTGGTTCAACCCTTCCTTCATAGGTAGCTCTGAACTTAGCAACTGAGTAATACTCATGCACGAAGTCAGCTATCTACATTCCTCTATTAGACAGTATCCATGTCAAGGCATGCTTGCATGGCTTGCCAGTTACCTGCCATTCTCTACATGAATAATTCTGATTTTTTAGATCCACAGTATGCCTTCTCTAGTTGTTCCAATCATCAAGTAGTGTCACCTCAGCAAAGTCATCATCACTAACTTTCAACTTGACAACCTTCAGATTGGTGCTTATAAGATTCA